TTCCTGGACCAAATATTTTAAGGCATACATACATTCTCATGAAAATTACTCCTACTTTGCTGAACTCAAGTCTAAATTTCAGCTTGGGAATTGTTTTGTTTAGGTATGCTGCTGGCTTTGCCAAAGGCATAAAATAAAAGCTTAAATATATTAGTATTTCAAATTCATCTTCCCATTTCTTGATGAGAAGTCTTATGTTTTGTCTTCTCTGGTTTTGCCCAGAGTTGAAACATTATAAAGTAATAAAATTGTATTTTAGGCTGTTTATCGTAGAACTTATTTTATTTTTCATCTTTGCTTTATAAGCAACTTATTCTACATATTTGTTCACTGCTCAGCGTTTTGGAAGTGGTTCTGTGCCTACTCACCTTATTGGAGCCGCATTATTCCGTGGGGAATGGAAACGAGCTGTGGACTTGATCCTTGATCCAAGAGATGGAGATATCCTTTTGTCGTTTCTAGAATATTAAACAGATGATATGTCTTAATCAATTAACTGTGCTCTAATAGTTTATAATAATGTATTCAATTCCATTGTTCTCCATAACTTATTTACATACAAAAATATATAATAGCCAAGGCACGCAAGTACTATAAAGATACTAATGACATTGCTGGGACACTTAAGCAGTTGCCCCAATTCTTAGTTGCTGAAAGGGCTGTGGTAAGCTTGGAAAACCATTTCTACATTAGTAATATGTTTGTTCCATAACTTGATTTTTGAGAGTCAGCTAATTTCTCTGTTTACCAACCATGTTCGTCCACGTATGATGTCATAACCAAATTTTGTTGACAAATCTTCTGCAGCTTAAATGTTTAAAACAGTTTCCTGGGAGCTATTTGCAGGCTTTGAAATCTATTCCACGAACTTTAAGGATGATGTGAGTATTTAAATAAATTGATATGTTTTGAAGTAAATGTTTGGCTAGACACACTGTTACCGGTAGTCGTTTTTCGTAGTTGGGGGTATTAGATATGAAATATCAAGTATCGTTTCTATTGCTCAACAAATGCAGTACTAGTTCCGAGTCACTTTACTTTAGACACTACAAATAGTATTGTTTCTTGCTTGAAAAATCCAAAAATCCTCTTTCACATATTACTCTTTTATATGTCGTGCTAAGCAAGTGCGCTATGAAGACAAATAAAAGACAAAAAATATTCATTATATCATTCCAGTACTTCTGTTCTTTTAGGTATGTGCATAGTTATCAAAGCTATTTGTGGAACAATGCAGCAAGTACAAGGGTGCAAAAATATGGTAAGTTGTGATTTGTAATAACTTTCTATTTCTATCTTGCTTTCTCTGACAATTTTCTCCTGACATACTTAGTGCATTCAATGTGTTTTTTCTACAATCCTTACCAAGAACAACCATTATTATGGTATTTGAAGTTAAAAGGTTATTTATTAAGTTGAATTCAACTCTACTATGTGGCAGGAACTGAACAAGTAGTATTAGGAGACTTGGTATACTGTAAAGAAAATCCTTCTGAAAAAGTTGCAGAGATTGTTGGACTTGACACTGGTGATGACTGCGGTGATAGTTATGACACTAATAATGAAGATGAAGTCTCTGGAGATATTCATGACAAAAGTAGCAGTAATGTTAAGGTTAGTCTTTTGATTTTTGCCTATGACAGAGGTCTGTTACTAAACCATGGAACAGGCAAAAGTGTGTGGACCTGCATTGCATAGGTACTGATACATACCCGGTACAGGTACAAGTACAGAATACAACATTTTTAAAAAAACTAGGGTACGGGTACGTTACTATAATTTTTTAACCAATTATAAAAACAACAAACGAATTATATTGTTCAAATGACAAAACATCAAAATTAAAAAGCAATTTGATTAAAAAAGAGTCAATATCTGGGCAATAACATAAAAAATTACACTTTAGTGTCAAAATTCATGAAGTTGTGACTGAATATCAAATTTTTTTTTCTCCAACATCATTAAAAAGAGCGGCTTCTAGTTCAGTTTCATTGAGAGAAAGACTAGCAATTTCAAGAATACCAGCTCCATCAAATAGATCTCATTCATCTCCACCAATAAATAACCCACATCTTTCTCGAAAGAAGAAAGAGATGTATGAACAAAAACAAGATCTTCAACTCTCTGGTTTGAACCTATTCCTTTTTAGTGAGTGAATAAATCCATATGTGCTCCAATTTCTTTCGGCAGAAGATGAAGAACTTGGTTGTGAAAGGAGTTTCAATGCAATGAATTGGAGTTTAGGGATTGAAGATCCATAAGTTACCCACCATTCCTTTGGTTTCAAGTCCCACCTACCAGCGACCGTACCAACTTTATAGAAAAAGGGTACGGACTCGGCACATATGCGTACCAGTACCCTGTACATATCCAATACCGGTACTTTGCCTAAAACGGCGTACCCGTGCTTCACAGATGTGAACGGTGTTCTAAATAAGGTTTACATTTTGAAGTTGGTTTACTTAATATGACAGGTTGTGAATGCTGAAGATCTAAATTCAAAATGTTATACAATTGATGATGTCATCCTTCCTATGCCAGGGTAAGCCTGACCAAATAATGCGTGGTATTTTTGTGTGTGTGGGTATGTGTGTGTTGAATCTCTGGCATTTATATTTATTTGATTTTCTCTATTTTTATTATTTTGCAGTTCACGGTCGATTTATCCTACTAATGATGTTGTCAAAGTGTATAATGATTTGACAAATAAAGTACGTATCTATTTGACCTCTTGCTGTTCTAGCTTACTAGTTTTTGTATTTGTTGTATGATTAAGAGTGATGTTCAAGGAGCCAAGACTGAACGTTGTGTTGCTGCACTTTCAAACTATGATTTCTAGTTTATGACGTTAGTATATAGCATATATAGCCCCTATTTCTTCTCTTTCTACCCCCCCTTCTGTTACTCCACTTAGCTCCGTGTATATCTATGGTGCTTTCCTAGCACATCTTTCACAACCTGCTTTACTTATTGTTTGGTCTATAAATAATTTATTTTCCTAATTCGTTACATGTTTGTTTGTACTGGTCAGGATGGAGTCAGTTTAACTGAGAGCGTGCATAATGCAAAGTATGTAATAATAAGAATCACGTCTCAAATCTCAATGAGTCTGATTCTACTTTCACTGTCTATTTTATTTTTTGTCTGTTTGCCGGTTCTGTTATTCTAGTTTATTTTTATTTGTTATCAGGGAATTCTCGATTACTAGTGTTACTGGAAGTTACAGGAGGGTTTTTCAGAAGCCAATTGACTTTGAATGGTACATAACTAAGTTCACCATCTGCTTGATTGCATAGACTCTTATCTTTACCTTCTTTTTCGTGTAGTCCACTTGTTGAATAATGTCTTTGAATGTTTGCAATCGCAGGGAATTACTTACATATACTGATAGCAATAAGCCATTGGTAGAGACAGATTTAGATAAAATTGGAAAGTCTAAACCTATAAATGTCAATCCAGTGAGTGCACCAAATGAGCAAAAGGAGAAAGCCTCTGATTGCATTAGCCAATTCGAGAGCTCTGATGATGGTCCAAAGGTTGAGACTGATCATGATGAGATTGGAGAGACGGAAGTAACATTACCACATGATGAATCTGTCCGTGATTCCAGCTCTAAAGACTCCCATACTGCTCTCAAATTGACCTTTACTCTTCCTTCTTCATCTTATGCAACAATGGCGATAAGAGAGCTTCTGAAGACTTCAACATCTGTAAGCACCCAAATTGAAAAAGCCTTTTACTGTTTTACAATGTTTGTTCAAGTTAATCATGATTGTGCTAATCTTCTATTATTGGTAATTTGTTCATGAACAAAAGACTTGTAAAAACATAAAATGTGAGCAAGTTTGATCCTTGCATATTTTCTTTATTCTTGCCACTTAGCAGTTTTAAAACAATTTTTAAATGCTGCTGCAGGTGGCTTATCAGAAGACATTAAACCAGTAATAATCACATAACACTAGAAAAGAAGCTTCAGCTCAGATATTTCAAATTTTCAGCGGATGTCTGTATGTTATGTATCTTTATTGAAGAAGTAGAGCGGTATCCACTCATAGTTCTCTCTACATTTTGCCGGAGAGCAGTGAAATTTAACACTGCGACAATGTGTGCGGAAAGTAATAGTTGATACTTTCAAGCACTGTTAGTACTAGCTTTATTTATCTAATTTTTTTCCCCATGTATTGATTTTAGTGCGATGTGCACAAGCTTTCTTATTCTTCATTTGTAGAAATTCTTTTATATTCTGTTGTAATTTTAGCTGCAACATTCCAATTACCATGCTTTCTTTAGACACATGATAAGATTAATGTTTAACTGAAGTCTGCTTTAAAATACTAGAAATTTTGGCTAACTAAGTGTGATACCTTGTTTGCGTGCAAGTAGCCAGCGAGTACAGTTCACAATTCTGTGCCTGACGTAGCCATCAATAATATCGTGACAGCACACACGAGCAACGTTAATGATAGGGGTTGGGGTCCCACGTTATCTTTTTGGCCCACGATTCTGTCGCTAGACAGATACTGCCTCAGAATCTCAGACTTATAACTCACTCCTTTCCTTTTTCATTTATTAGTTATATCTCAGTATTTATTGAGTTAAAAAAGTACTAATTGCTTTCTCTACGGAGTTTCCTACCATATAATAATATATACAACTCTAAGTTACTAAAGTTGCTTTGAACAAAAATGGTGTAAAACAAAGGTTTTCCATGTTTGAAAATACAGTAATAATAGTGGATCAACGAACTGAGTCACGTGTGATGTGACTGTGCGCAATGCAATTTGAAAGCAAAGCTTCCAGTCCACGATAGACTAGTAGACAGTAAAAAGGTTGCACGTGGTGAACATGTAGTACGATATATGAACAGTATTTGTACGATATGAAGATTCCCTTCCTTAAAATCATTGGCCCCACTCTCCGTTCCATTTCACGTGCCGTTAATTACACCATCATCACTCACTCCATCCATGCTCCCACGCATTTCTATCCTCTTTCTAGTCATGCATGGTAGAGCAGAGATGGGAGCAGCAAACATGTTGAATGAAGGAGTATCAAAGCAGTTTGAGTTTCAGCCATTGACGACTACTACTACTACTAGTCTTCTTCATGATCAATTCTCACTTCAAACTCAATCTGATTACCTCTTCTACCCATCAATATTATCAGCATTGCCTCACCACTCTTCATTCAACTTCCAGATCCAAAATCATCATCATCATCATCATTTACCACCATCACACTTGATCGATTCCGAATGGACTAACGACGAACTTCTTGCACTCTTCAAGATCAGATCTACCAATGAAAATTGCTTCCCAGATCGCCTCACATGGGACCATGTCTCAAGGTAACCAAAAAAATTTAAATGTTTGCTTGTGTGGTTTCTTCTTGTATTTTATTATTGTTATCATGATGGTGTTCAGGAAGCTTGAGGAAGTTGGGTTTAAGAAGAGTGCTGACAAGTGCAAGGAGAAGTTTGAAGATGAGAACACATCATTATTGAAGATCAATAATCATAATGATTTTGCTAACGAGCTTCAAAGTCTCTATCAAACTTGTTGTGTTGATGAACCCGATGAACACGAAAAGACTCAACACGAAGAAGAACATTTAAGAGATGAGGATAACATTGACATTGTAGTAAACAAACAATGTGATGATAAGGTGGTGATGGAAGAATCAAAGCTAGACAGAAATAGAAAGAGGAAGAGTCGTCGTCGCAATAGATTCAAAATGATGAAATGTTTCTGCGAGGCTGTGGTTAATAAAATGATGGCACAACAAGAAGAAATACACAATAAGCTAATTCAAGACATGCTCAAAAGAGATCAAGAGAAGCTTGCCAGAGAAGAAGAATGGAAAAAGCAAGAAACTGAAAGGATGAACATGATGACACAAGAACAAGCTATTTCAAATCATAGACAAGCCACCATAATTGATTTCTTGAAAAAACATCTTTCCACAAATGAAAACAACAATGTTATTCTCAACAACAAAACTACAAAAGCATGTTCTTCTTCTCAACAATTGCACTCACAAAACCCTAGCTCAAGCGAAACAGCATTACTAGAGGATAAGAGAAGGTGGCCAAGAGATGAAGTGTTGGCACTGATAAACCTAAAGTGTACTACAAGTGTAATAAACAGAAGAAGCAACAAGAAGGGACCTGTGTGGGAGAGAATCTCTGAAGGGATGTCAGAGTTGGGATACAAGAGAAGTGCAAAGAGGTGTAAAGAGAAATGGGAAAACATAAACAAGTATTTTAGAAAAACAAAGGATGGTGTTGTGAATAAGAGGAAAAGGAGAATGGATTCAAGGACTTGTCCTTATTTTTATCAACTAAGTTCTTTGTATAATAGGCAGCAGCATGGAAAAGTGACTGCTCCTCAAAATCAATTAACATTCAATTCAACTGGTCAAGGTGATGATCAACATCAACCCCTAGCTCAATCTTATGATTTTTCTTAGTGGTATTAAAAATGATGCAGCATATATTTTTTTGAAGTATCTTCCCTTTATTAATTTTTGGAATGTCATTGATTTGAATTGGGTTAATACTTTTCCATTTTTATGATGTAATAATAGTGATTAGTTCAACTACATATTTTGTAGTTTCTTTTAAGAATAATATTAGTAACAAAATATTCCTTAACACATTTTCAAACACAATCTCCTTTATTTGTTAAATTTCACACAAATCCTACCAAAATTATTGAGACCCACCTGATTTGGTGTGGAAGCATATAAGTTTTAACAATTTAAATCAAGCATGTTGCAAATAATTCATCTTCTTTTAATTGTTTTTTTATAAGCAATATATTCAGTAAGAGAGTCTAAAAGGAACTCTAACCCATATACAAAATGATCCTACAACAATAAAAGCGAGCCGACTCAAAGACTTAAATTACAAAAAGTTAGTCGGAACTTTGTACCAATCATAATAAGAACATCTATTGAAAGATGAAGCCCCAAAATCTAACCACTACCATGACACATGTATCGACCTATGCACAATGTCAGTAATGTTACTGATAACATCATTGAATATAATTTGGTTACGAGACCACCAAATAGACCAACATGTCGTAATCCAAATGTAACACGCCGTCGTCTTGAATGTAATATTCACCATCTTTAAAAACCAAGAGAGAAAATGTTCACTAGCATTCTCACCTTGAGGCATCCCAATTCCAACCCATTTCGCAATCCTGTTCCAAATCTCTTTTGAATGTGGACACGAGAAGGATAAATGATTGCAATCCTACACTTCATTAAAATATAGCACGCAAACAATTTCATGAGCATTTGAGATTAAACCCCTGCCAGCAAGATTTGATCTAAAGGAGGACGATCGTGTAGTAATCTCCAAGAAAAAGTTCTTGCCTTGAGATGGATTTTCGTTTTCCAAATCGAATGTAACATGGACTTGAGTGTAATCTCGAGCTCCATGGACTCATCCAAGTTTTTCAAGCTCCGATAACAAGAACTTACTATTAAATTCTTTGAAATGTCAGCTTTCCAAACAAAATTGTCTGCAGAATTAGTTACAGGTTGCACTTGAGCAAGTAAAACCTTAATATCCTGCACCTCGCACTTGAGCAAGTAAAACCTTAATATCCTGCACCTCCTCTAGCAAACTGCCTTGCAAATCAGAATTCTCACCCTCCAATTTCCACTCCCACGTCCCCATATCTGCCACTGATACCAATTTCATGACAAACTTCTCATACAAATCAGGGAACACGTCACGCAACGGCTTGTGATGAAGCCAGCTCGCGTGCCAGAATGAAACATTACAAAATTGTTTACGATGATAATTTTACTTTAAAATTGTTCACGATAGGGTTCCAAAATTGTATACTCCTATGTCTGCCACCAACAGGTATGCCCAGAAAAAGGAAAGGTAACATACCTTGATTACATGCTAGAAAATTTGCAGCAACGTCCAAAAACGACTCCTCTATGCCAACTCCAAATAAACAGCTTTTGCAAAAATTAATCTTCAATCCTGATATGAGTTTGAAACCACGCAAAATACTTTTGATTCTCCAAAGATCAGATCAATCTCCATCACTGATGAGGACAATATCATCTGCATATTGTATCAAGGAAATAACATCCGCGTTACCAAAGTGAAAACCGTTGAAACACCTTTTGATTTACAATCCTAACCAACAACGCCAAAGCTTCGGCCACAAGAGCATACAATGAGACAAGGGGTCCCCTTGTCTAAGACCCCTTGTTGCCTCAAAATCACGAGCAGTGCCTCTATTTACCAAAACAAACATAAAGCTTTTAAATATTCCTCCCTGTATCCAGCTTCTCCGTTTCATAGAAAAGTTCATCTGCTCCAATATGTCTTCAAGAAACTTCCAATCTACCGAGTCATAAACTTGCACAAAATCGACTTTAAATACTAAACATCTCCTATTCTCTCTCTTGGCCAGGTCCAAGACTTCCTTTAACAACATCACCTCATCTAGCAGTTGATGACCTGGGATAAAATCATTTTGTGTAGGAGAAATTAATTTACCAATTACTTTACTAAGCCGTGTTGCCATGATTTTAGAGATCAGTTTGTAAACACAACACAATAAACTTTTTGAAATCGAAATTGTTAAATGTAATTTAAGTTTAAGTTATATTTAAGTTTTATTTTGATTTGGTTGAACTTGAATATAATCTAAAGTTAGTTTCAATTAGTTACACGATTGAGATAATAGAGTTTTTTGAGATTGAAAAAATTAGTTACATCTCTCTCTCTCTCTCTCTACAATTATTTCATCTTCATCTCCATCTTTTTGTGCATCAATGATGTTTTATTGTTAACTCTAATAATTGGTATTTAGAGCTCCGATTCGATTCACAGGGAAACACGAGTGTATGTGAGGTGTGTGATTACTTCCGTTCCTCAAATTCACATTGGATTGAAGATCAAAATCGAAGAGAAACACAATCTTGATTCTCAGGGATAAAGAATAACGGGTGTTGGTGAGAATTGAGCAATTTGCAAAAGAATGAAGATGAACGACGAAAACGGTAGTTCGAATACAAAACTTCTAGTATTTGACAGAAAGAATTGGTCGATTCAGATGCGTGTGTTGTTTGGCGCTCAAGATGTTCTTGATCTCATCAATGATGGTTACACGTGGTTGCAGAAAATGCAACAGAAGCGCAAAGAAACTGACAACATGAAACGAGTAAGAAGGATTAGAAGGCATTGCTAAATATTTATCAGTGTGTCAGTACAAAGGTGCTTGAGAAGATTGCCAACTCGACGACGATGAAGGAGGTGTGGGATATACTTGTGCGGTACTATGGTGGTGGCACATTAGTGACGAAAGTAAAGTTGCAGTCCCTACATAAGCAATACAAGAATCTCAACATGAAGAATAATGAAAAGGTGAGTGATTACATCTCCAGAGTGATTGTGGTCACGAATGAGATGAAGTCTTGTGGAGAAACTCTCCTTGAACAAGTAATCATTGAAAAGGTATTAAGATCACTTAATCCTCAGTTTGATTACATAGTTATAGCCATAGAACATTTGAAAGGCACTAGCACCATGAGAACTGAGAGCTTCAGAGTAGTTTAGAGGCACAAGAATTGTGACTGACTGAAAAAGCTCTGAAAGGAAAACAACATATACTCTGAAATCTTCTTTTCTTAAGAAGAACAAGAAGCAAACATGGCTAGAGAACAAGAAAAAGAATGGTGGTGGTGCTCATAAGTAAGAACTCTCCAATCCAGATGAGAAGAAACATAAAAAATTTTAGAAGGGAAAAAAGAAGTTTGATAAGAGAAAGCTTTAGTGTTACAATTGCAACATGTTTGGCCATTTTGTTGCTGATTGCTGGTTAAACAAGGTTAGCAAGGGTGAATAAGACATCATAGCCAAATGAGATTTAGAGGATGAACCTGTGCTACTGATGGCATCTAAGAATGCAGGTGGAATAATGGTAGACTGGTGATATATGGACACTAGCGGCTCAAATCACTTAATTGGAAACAAGCAATGGTTGATTGATTTTGACTATGGTAGAAAGATCAATATCAGATGTGCTGATGACAAGTATCTGAATGTCGAAGGAATGAGAAATGTAAGAGTGAAATTAATATCCTGAAAAATAATATCTTGAAGTTGTATGACTGTAACTAGAAGTTGATTATGCAGTATGAACTAGGAAGAAACATGACATTCAAGGTGTATGTTGCAACAACAGACACTCAATGCCTTAGTGAAACAAGTGCTAAAAAGGAAAGTGAGTTGTGGCACAAGAGATTGGGACATATGAACTTTAGAGCTCAGGGCATATGAGTTCAAAGAATTTGGTACATGGAGTTCCAAAGATTATGGCACCCGAGAAATCATGTGACATATGCATAAGAGGCAAGCAACCAAGATTTCCATTCTTATCATAAATGCCTCCAAGAAAAACTCATGATTTAGGTGTGGTACATTCTAATGTATGTGAGCCATTTTGAAGGTGAGAAAATACTTAGAAGGGGGGGGGGGGGGGGTTTGAATAAGGATTTAGAAAATATTATGGCAATAAAAACACAAAGATTTTTATCCTGGTTCGTTGAACTCAACTACTCTAGTCCACCCTATCAAGAGTGATTTGCCTTTCTCCACAAGGACTTAATCCACTATTAATCAAACTGATTACAATAGCAACCATTAAGAACAACTGTCTTAGTCTTCTCAAGAACTACTGACCACAACTTGGTCTTCTCAAGGAACTTTTACAATCAAATGTAAAATTAAACAAGTGTTTGAATGCTTCTAAGAAAGCTATATCACAACTGTGATTTACACTTAAGTTTAAGAACGTATGAAAACTATTTAGCAAAGAATAATAATTTGTATGAGAGCTTTGAGAGAGTTTTCAATTGAATTGTTCAATATTCGTCAACTTAAGAAAGTTGTTGAAGGCTTGCTTTTATAGACTTAGAAATCCAAGACGTTGCAAGCTTGAAGACCGTGTACTGCAAAGTAGCTATAGCCTTTTTGTCTTCACATCACTTGACCTTTCATAGAAGTAGAACGTTCAGAGAAATCCTTTTTTCCTGAGTTCTTGTGTCTAGCATAAAAGAGGAAAGAGTCGTTTGGCATAACCAACTGATATAACTTTGAATAATCTTTTTCAACAAGTTTCTAATTCACAGCAATTAACATCAGAACCTTAAGTGATCAGAGTCTTGATGTCTTCAAAATTTGCTGTATCAGAGTATTGTAGCAAGTGTGCTTCAGCGTGTAACTAATCAAAGCAGAGTTTGGAGATCAGATCCTCAGTACATGCAGCGAACAGTACTATCAGAGTCTTCTGAAAAACAGTGCTTGAAACTCTTCATACAAAGTCTTCAGTCTATGCTTCAGATGCTTCTGTAGCTTCTGTTTCAGATCCTTCTGTAGGAAGTGCTTAGAGTCTTCTAAGAGATGCTTCTGACGCTTCAGAGCCTTGCGT